TCTTGCTAGATTATAGTTTTTCACTACATTTTAGACATGGGGCTTAATGGAAGAACTATAGCCAGTTTGATTATCATAGTATTTTGACCAACGAATTACACCTCCATACTGTCAGAATCTTTAAGAGTTGGAAGAATTTCTGAAATCAGAACATTTGCAGGAATAAAGCCACTCCCAACTGCATCTGGTGCTACTGGTAGTCCTAGGAAAATCCTTTTAGCAGGAATAGATGAAATCCATTGTTTCCTACTTTCCTTGCATTTTCGAGCTTTGCAGCCCTTTCCAGAAGAGTATTGACAAGGCGTGTTATTGTAAAATTGAACCTAGAAGTAGTCGAAAAGGCCTGTTTTCAAGGCACCTCCACCCAAAAGCATCAGGTTGTGGGAATTCAGGAGCCGCAGTTATGTAAATCTTCTTACCTTGTGTTCTGTATTTGGGAAAGGTACCTTGCGGGTTCATCCCAGTGCTGAGCAGTCCCACCCACGATATCAAAATCGATCTCATCTAAAATGGCTTCACATAGAGGATGACCATAATTGTCCGCCCGAGAAGTTGTTCCAGAGGTTAATAGCAGCTCGTCTCACCTCCCCTGAGGAGGTGAGGTAATATCTATCCGCCCTTCCTCCCATAGAAAGCATTACTTCGATTCCTTTGGCTTGAGACAACTGGATATCAGAGCTCAATCTGGTGCATCCATTACTGTACAGATCACAGTGCCCGGCTAGATTGATTATTGGTGTCTGTCCATTGCCAAATGTTAGCAAGGAATGCTAAGATCACAAATTGATGGTTTCCAGTGCCTGACCCAATGTCCTCTCATTTCCATTCTGTCCCCAATAGATAGCAATTTCTCCAGCTTCAGTGTAGCGCCCCGAATTCCGTGAACCCGGATTGCCACATCATATTCTTTTGTAATCGATTTAACTAATAAAATTTGCGAAAAATAACTAAATTTCAAATTACGCATTTATAACGATAAAAAAAGCCTCGAAAACAACAAAACTCATTTAAATTAACTTAAGGAAATTGATTAAATATCAAATCTCGAGTTTTGAAAAT